GCACCATAAAGCCAGCCCAGGCCTTAGACCTAACCCTTCCCCCATCCAACTGCTTCCTGGGTCCCAGTTAAACCTGCCCTCCAGTGTCCTGGATCTGAGAATGAAGCTCCTGATGCTAAGCGCTCAAGCCTGTTCCTCTCTGTGTTCTTCATGGTTAAACTTTCCTGCTTCAGTGCATATTTATGAACAACTATAGTAAAGGTCTTGGGTTTTTGGTTTTTTCCACTTTACAGGGACCTAGAAAATGTCTCATGAAACATATTGGCCCTACAGACAAGATGGTACACACCCAGCTGATTTCCCTTCAAAAGGCTGAAAAGGGAACTGATAATGACTCTGAGACTCCTGGTTTTACTGATATGACCATCAAGTAGGAATGCAAGGAAGACTGTATAGATGTATGTAGTATGTACACCGTCAGCTTTCTGTATCCATTGGGTTTTGTGTTAGGGAATTCAACAAGAGACAGACTGAAACTGCTCTAAACAAACCAGTTCTGTTTAGAACATATACCAACTTATTTTTTCTTGTCGTTTCTCCTAAAATGATACAAGGTAGCAACTATTTACATATCACCTACATTGTATTAGTAATTATGAAGATGGGCGGTGCACCCCTCTAATATCAACTCTTGGGAGGCTGAGTCAGGAGGATTGCAGGAAATTTGAAACCAATCTGGGCAACATAGCAAAACCCTGTCTCAAAAAATCATAAAAGAGAGTAATTATTAGTGATTGAGAAACATTTGAAGAATAAGAAAGAATGCATACGATAAATTCAAATACTACATCATTTTTAGGAAAACACTTAAGGGTAAAGGGCAACTGGGATGTGGGAAAAGAGAAGGGAAAGAAGGAGAAATTTTGTATGTATGTATATACAGGATAGTTAACATAGTTGTTCTACTGTCTTCTATTTCTTTGCTGAAAGAAACTGTCAATGAGTCCTTGATTGATCAATATTGCATGTCTCTGTCTGTTTTCATGAGAAACCACTTTGAAGATATCAGTATGTAATACAACAAGCCTTGTTAATTTCCTTCCACTTTGTTTGTAATTCTGTATTGTCTGTACTGTTCTTTTGCTGTTTTGTAAAAGGTTGTCTGTTAATGTTTTCCTCCTTTTATTTAAAAAAAAAATTTAAAAATACTACATCATTATATATAGGGAACTTTAAGATTTCAATATGTGATATCTGCAGGGGGTCCTACAGCCACCCCCCCACAGGCAGATGCTGAGGACCAACTGCATTCACAGTACTATTTATGATTTCAGATTTCATAAAACCAAATACCAGTCCACAATTTTACAATAACAATGGCAACAAAAAATATAGCTCTGAAATGCAATAGAATGGTTTCCTTTCTTTTTTTTTTTTTTTTTTTTTTGGGTGACAGGGTTTCACTAAGCAGCTCAGGCTGGCCTTGAACTAACTTTGTAGCCCAGGCAGGCCTCTTCACCCCTCAGCTTCTAAAGTAACTGGAATTATAGTTATGCACTACTGAGTCTGCCTTAATGTTTCCTTTCCTTTTTTTTTTTTTTTTTTT